TAGTTTGTAAATTTATATGCCGGTAATACATTGTTTTTCTCTTTTTAGGTTAAAAAATCGTAATTTTTTAAAAATATAAAATAATTTTACTCCTTATCAATGTTTCAATAACTAAGAAAAACTAAGAGGTACACAGAAACTAAGTGAAAACACAGGGTAGTTGCAGAAAAACTAGGCTTCACCAAGTGAAAAACTTGGTCATTAATATATAATTTGAGCAATTATAACTCTGGCTACAATCCTGTTGAGTTTTTTCAACACATGCAAGGTTGTTGTGCATTTGATGAACTATAGTAATGTTTCTAATGTTACTTTTTATTTTATTCTTGTAAGTTCCAAAAGTTCCAAACAAATCTTTAATGATTTCGATGTTGTTATTGTTGATGCTGTTGAACTGAAGCAGGCAGAAAAACGAACAAATAAATTTTTCATAGCAATGGTCGCAACGAGTTTCTTACACAAAACTTAGGCCAAAAAACATGATGGGATTTTGGAAAACTCAAAATCTCAATGGAAAAATTTTACAAGAAAAAATTCTCAATAAAAACCAAAATTTTTTCTTCATTTTTCAACATCGCTACAACATTTTTCAACATTTTCACTGAAATAAAACAAATAAATTTAATTAATATCCCAGGTTATATCAAAAATCCCAGGTAGATATCCTATCTACATACAGCCTGTCGAGAGCACTCCACATGGAGGCATGGATATCAAAAACGCACATACAAAAAATTAACTTTTTTCCAAACATTTTATTAAGGACTTCATATTTTCTTTAGTAATTTGTTCTTTCTAATAGTTAGTTATAATAAAAGCAGTAGCAGCAGCAGTAGTTGTTGTTGTAGTGGTATGGTAGTAGTAGCAGTAGTAAGAGTAGTAGTAGTAGTAGCAGTAGTAGTAATAGTAGTTGTAGTGATGTTGCTGTATTACTGGTATGGCTTGTAGTAGGAGTAGCATTATTAGTAGCTATATTAGTAGTAACAAGCAGTAACAGTGGTTGCAGTAGTAGTAACTGTAGTAGCGTTTGCGGCAGTAGTACAATGGCAATATTAGTATGAGTATTGATAGTATCAAAAAAAGCACAGTGTGCATGAATAAGGCGGGAATCTATTTGCAATCGAACTAAATCACCACGAAATAGGATGACTCGGGCGCCTTCAACCATTAGGCCATCACCAATTATCGTCGTCGTCATCATATCATCATCATGAAAGCATCACCATAAAAACATTATCGTCATCGTCCTCATCATCATAGCAACAGCAAAAGCAACATCATCGTAATAGCAACAACATCTTTCTTTTCATCTAGCATCATTATAACATCAACAACCACATCAACAACAACCACAACATTCTAATCACCATAACAACATACCTATTCATCATAGCAGTAACAACAACATCATCTTCCTCATCATAGCAGCAGCAACAACATTCTAATCATTATAAAAACATTATCATTTTCATCCTCATCATCATAACAACATTATAGCAACATCATAGCATTAACAACAACAACATCCTCATCATTTTCATCCTCATCATCATAACAACAACAACATCATCAGCCTAAGTCATCTAGGTGCTGTCAAATGATGCATAGCAATCACGCATCATTTCACATCAAGTTATTTCTGCTTACAAAGATATTCACATGCCTCATCATACATTTTAAAACAACACATACACACAAACACACACACACACACACATACATACGTACATACATACATACACACACACAAACACATACGCACTACATTACGCGCATACATACATACATACACACACATACATACACATCATACTTATAATACACACAAATACGTATATACGCACATACATACACGCATAGATCCTATCATACATTAGTATACACACACACACACACACACTTTCACACACACACATAAAAACACAACACATAAATGCACACATATTTATTTTTTGTTTAGCTAATTAGTTAAAAAACAAAGGGGCGTCTCAAAGTTAAATAGACTTATGGATACCAAAAATATAATAATTTTTTTTGTACTTAAATAATAATAATTATAACAATAATAATAACAATAATAATAATAATAACATCGCAATAATAATAATACTGATTATTAATCATTTACACATGTTCTCGTTTTTGAATGTTACTTATCGATGACGTCATCGTCAAGGTTGTTGTTGTTGTTGCTGTTGTTGTTGTTTCTTTGCTAACTGTTCTTGGCTTTTTTAAATATTGTCATTTTTTTCGGTTATCTTATTAATGTCATGGGAGTTGTTGTTGCTAGTTTAATTGTTGTCATGGCTGCTTATGTTAGTGTCATTGCTATTGATGTAAGTGTTAATGTTAATTTGGCTGTTTATATCACTAATGTAGTTGGTGTTGTTGGTTTAGATGCTTGTTCAATTGTCGTTACGGTTGTTTATGCTAATATCATTGCTAGTTGTGTTGTTTTCGTTGGTGTTATTTTGGCTGTTAGAGTTGTTCTTGCTGATGT